CATTGGAGCTTCCGTAGTTGGTCACGCAAAGGCGATTCCCATAGTGAAACACCGAGCGAAGTTAGAAAAAGAACAGCACATTAGCATATCATGAAAATTGATAACACTAATAGAGAAGGGTGATGACGTTGGTTTCAGTTGACCTGGAACTGGTGTGAACAAAAGTATTTTACAGTCAAACTAGAGGCCTTCTTATCCAATGGTTGGATTGAACTGGGTCATCAAAAGGACAAGGATATTAAACACAGCAGCGGTTTTATGATAGAACATCTACGTCAAGATGACCCAGTCAAAGTCTAGTCGTCAAAAGATTAGAATGCTGTTGAAGAGCTTAAGAGAGTATTTATACACTCAGAGAAATGTACTAAATATGAAAAGACTTAAAGTGAAAGATGTGTTGATGAATAAATATTTAGTGTTTAGTTCACTTTATGTTTAATGCAGTGAACATGTGGCACCATGTTTCACCACCGTGGCTTGATATTAATCTTTACAGCATCCTGTTCATTTTAAAATGTGCAGCCTATGCAAAGAGTTTAGGGAAGTGGTTATGTTAACTGTAGTTCACTATGATAAAACTGTCGATTGAGCTCATATTGGTTAGAAAATGGCAAGTGCTGATCCTTTGTTGTTCAGGTCTCTCTAAGGATTGTGTAAAATTCATCTTAACTGTTGGGTAATTTTTCACAATTTCTATGCTGGATAATTTTTGAAGATCAAAACCTTTATTTTTGCTTGTTTAACTAAAATATTTTATTGCATCTTAGAGATATTTACATAATCAAGAAACCAGAAAATTGTTTCCTTGAGAAAACTAATTTGTTTAGACGCTTACCTGCTTAAAAGCTTGGGTTGAGAATAACTTATGAAAGAAAATCTGAGGATATTTTAATTTGAATAATTCAAAATTTGTCCCATTTGAGTCATTTTACCTGCACTTAAGAAAGGTATATATCTGTAAAGACAGTATTATATGCAAAAAGGGCGAATGTGGAGAGTGAAGCCCAGATTCTGCAAAAATTTTTTAGTGGTTGGAAAAATTATGATTTCCTTTGTTTCCTTAAAATACTTGTTCTTTGAAAGCAAAAGGCTGTTGAGGTAAAATATGACTATTTTACTATACTTTTTTTAGGATGGTTTTGGACTTAGTCATGATGTTCTGTGTCTTGGGAAAAGAGTTTTCAAATTGTATTTTTTTATGAAAGAAAACTGTATGACCCACATCACATAAATGTGAAAAACCTTGGTCCTATTATCATCAAAACTTAGCATATTTAATTATATCAAATTTCCCTCTCATTTAGATGGAACAGTCCTTAATATATTATTACTGCACAGTTAAAGACAAAATTTGAAACTTTTCTGGGGCCAGGTAAGATTTGTTTAAAAATTCAAGTTAATAGTACTAAGGGCAATAAAAGGTTGTAAGAACTAATATGTCAACTTTATAACTACAATATTATATTTTACTTAATTTGCATTCCAATAAAGTTTAATACTATACTGCAAACTGATATTGAAAGTAGCAAGCAAGAAGAATATTTGTCTAAACGCATAGCCCTGTGGTACATCAGTCCTGAGCTGCAAACATTCTGCAAATACATTATGAAACAAATATGAAACGCACTGCAAAAAAGAAACATGAGACTAGCAAACAATGAAATGACACTCCTAAAAAAACAAATGCAGAGCTAAAATGCTGCTAAAGACAAATGCTGCAATCATAGAAAATATAGAGCAGCAAAGTGTAAACATTGCAAATACAAAACCTGCTGCAAACACAAATGATTGAAACACACTAAGCATGTTCAATGGAAAAATGCAGTAATTAGCAAACACATCTGCAGGCTAAGAAAAGCTGCAAACTAGCTTTGATAATAAAAGTGATGCAAAACACTAGAGGGAGATGATCACCAACTAATATGGAATCAGAGCCTTAATAAAAACACAAACGGGATGCGTTAAAAGATTTAAGAGGAAACATACCTTTCTTTTCCCCCCAAAGGGTCTCTGGGCAGAGATTCCTCTTATTTTGCTAAGGATTTGGTCCATAGACATTAATTAATTAGTAATGTGTTTGGTTTGGTTTCATATCAGTTGCTGGCTGTCTACCCCTAATGGTCTGGAACACATCTATTCTGTTTTAATGTGTTGGCATCATTTATGTGTTTGCAGCAGGTTTTGTGTTTCTTCCATGTTGCACCCCTCATCCACTGTACTGAGAAACTACTTAATAAAGTTCTGAAAGACTTTTCAGCATCTGTTGAAACATGTACATCTGATATACAAGTCCCTAAATAGACCTTAAATTTGTGTATTTTCATTATTCTGAATAGCAAGCATAATATTAACAGGGAAAGAACGCTGAGCAGCAAAACATTAAATAAAAAAACTAGATGAATTAGAGGCTGCAATTGCTTTTTAAGCTGCTATACTGGAAGAATATTTGTGACAATCAGGCCTTGTGAGATCAGGCCTCTCACTGCATCAAATATTTATATAATCCCTTATTTCCTAGATCTGATGCACTTGACACCAGCAGGACAAGGCCTGGGCTTGCAATTACATGCCCACATTAATTGATTTTGGTTTCATTTTTTTTTCTATTGATGGATTAAAAAAAAATAGATAAATTGGATGTTAATAAAAGAAAAAAAAATACATGGATGGTAGATTGTAGAAAGTTGTGATTTTGGAATAGAATGTGTTCTTGTTTTGTTGTCAAAGATAAAGAATGAGAAGCACATAGAAAGGGGTAAGCAAAAATTGTATCTCATGTAGTTAATATTGTTTTACCGTGATTATAAAGATTTAAAAGACCCAAAAAATAAATACATCGTGTTTAAGAGTATCTGTTTGATCATCTCAGAATGAACACAGTTGCTCAGACATTCTGAATTAGTTTGACTAATTACCACCATTAAAACAGAAAACACTGCACTTGGCATGAACATATTTAACTTGGTCAAGGCATGCAGGAGGAGATGCTTTGGCAGTCGTAGGCAGTAGTCTGTAGCCAACAATGACATTCTTCCATGCTGCTGATTAGAAGCTTGAGGTCTCATCTCTAAATGCTTATCTCCACTTTGCAAGAATTAAACTTGTCATTGTCAGGTAGATATGTCACAAAATAATCAAACATGTTGAGTTTAGATACAGGTTAGTGTTTAGCTGGTTTGTAAAGCTTAACCCAAAATCCCAAGAGGATCCATTTCGTCCTCACATTTGAGCCAAAATGATAATAGATGCTGATAACAAGTTTGTAAATGAGGTGGATGTTATGATGAAATGGTGGAAATTATTTAATGTAGCAGGGATAGTACTAAAGACCCTTCAATTCACTACTGGAGAGGAGCACAAATGTATTATTCTACAAAAAAAAAGCTCTTTTTGAATTTAATCTTATATGATACCATAGCAATATTAAAATCTTGTAGTTTTATCTTTTATGGAGAATGTTTAACTGCAAAGAGGGATCTCAAATGATTCTGTTTATTTTATATTCTCGCATTTTTATTGTCATTGCACTGTCAAACGTAAAGTGAATCCAAATGAACCCTCTGCTTTTAACCCATCCCCTTGGGGTGTTTGTTTTAAAACGTCCAAAACTCAACCTCAAAAAGGTGTAGGATGGCTACATTCAAAATTGTTGGTGTCGCAGAAAACTACCATATTTTTTGGACTACAAGGTGCGCCTGATTAATAGCCGTACAAGCTAAAATTAGGGCAAAATCCTGTTTTGTTCATACTTAAGCCACACCTGACTAAAAGCCGCAGTTGGCTTATTGTTTAATCATGATATGTAAGAGAATATGCACAAAGGAGGTTGTCAGGAAAGAGATGGTTGTTTAGGAACGCATCCCTTTTATTAACAGTTTGAAAAAAACGAGCTGCCATTTTCCACTCTCTGCTTCTCTCCTTCACTGTCTTTTTCAAAACCAAAGAACTCGTCGTTGTCAGTGTCAGAATCGAATTCCCTCTGTAGGGCCGTGGTGGTGTCCTCCTCTTTATCACGCAGCAGTCCATGCGTTCGAAATCCGTTGGTGATCATTGATGTTTTGGCACTTCTCCACCCTGTTGGAATCCACTGGCAAAGTGGATTCGGACAGGCAAAGTAGTGCCGTACAACAGCAGAACAAACCAAAACAAATCCTCTCACAATATCACAAAAATCTTGAAAAATCCATAGAAAGGCTGCACCAGACTATAAGCCGCCAGGTTCAAATCTTCTGCAAAAAGAAGCGGCTTATAGTCCGAAAATTACGGTAAATCTGCACACCCAATTTTTCAGGTGGTAGTGGTACCATTAGGCTGTGGGCAGGTTTCTGCTTAGAAAAAAAAATACCTGAAGCTGCAAATAGGCAAGACTGGAATGCTGCTATGATTCAACTGCATTTCATAGAAAATCTTCATCCAACTTACATAGAAGAAAAGTAGGTGGAGTAAAAACTTCTTTTTATCAGCAAAAGTGTTTCTGCAAAGCATGAACTGAGGGTGTGAAATTTATATTTTAATTAGGTGATTTATGAAGGAGTTTGGTCATACTGGAATTCAGTATGAGTGGCATTATAAATGGGTCTGAATACAGATGAACTTCAAATGTATATCTAAAGCCATTAGGTATTGTATTTTCATTATAAACTATGCTTGACCTGGTGTCGGCCTATTTCAGTAGCTTCCAAGTACATTGACATTTGGTTTTATGGTAACAAAATTTGTGATTGTTAAATGGTATCAACACTTTTGCAAAGTGCTAAATATTACTTTACTCAAGCCAAATAAAAAGAGAAAAGTGCCTGATCATTGTTTTTTCATTTTACTTGGCATGCTCACATGTTTTTCACCTCCCCCCACCATCGCAGCTTGCCTGCCCAGCACCAACTCTAACAATATCCTGTTGCCCTCAGGGCAGCAGAAGGAGGGTATCAGGCCAAGCTGCATGCAGATCTCACGTGTCAGTGAAGGCGGTGTCATGCAAACTCTGCCAGAAAGAAAACATCTGCCAGCCATGCAGTCAGTGCTGTCAGATCTCTGTTGACCCCTCAAATTATTTCCTCTGTTGTCGCCTGAACGTGGAAACTTAGTCTGAGTAACTGGAAATGGGAGGAAGCTTCTTGTTTTTGGACACCTAAAGTTAAGGCAGACAGGCAGCCAGGATCCTAAAGATGCCTGTCTGGGCTGTGGATATTCTTCATAAATCAGAGTTCTTGACAGCTTCGAGCACACGGTGGGCCGTCCTAAGTTCCTACAGCGACCCAGGGCACCCTGTGAGCATGCAACCTGACAGAGGAAGAGGTTAACCCCTGCAGTGTCACTGCTATCATCAGCAATTCCACTCTTCCCCTTTCTGAGAAGACAATGAGTGAAGGAGTGACAGAGTCAGAGTTATAAAGATAATTTAAAAAGATTCCTTTTATCTCCTGGAGTTCTTAGACAATATTTTTGTCTTGGACTATTTGGATCATTAAGGACCTCTGGCATGCAGATAAACTTTGTCACGTGTGGGATTATTTTTGGCTGTTTTTTGACCACAACTATTGAAGAGGAAAGATCAACTCAGAAAATCTCTGCAGAAAAGTCTGCAGGTATAGTAACTACATTTCTACCTTCTTCAGACTGGGTAAACATCTTGGCAACCTTGTTGGGGCTTGCCTGGAACTCCTTTAGTTGAAGACTGCAGCATTCCTTCATGATGTTTCCCCTACACTATGAAGCGATGGAAATGATTCCTGTATGTTTTAATTTGGATTCTATCAGCTTTGTTTTAACGCCTGACCTGGATTCCTCCTTTCGCTTTGGTTTATCAAACAAAGAGCCTTGTGGAATGACTCCAGAACCGCCAGTCTTTTCATAGAGAAAGAACTTCTACATGCTGGAGTTTGCACAGGTCAGATGTGCTGTCAGATCCACAGCTGAGCTTCCTGGGAAGAATTTCCAAAAGGAAAATGAACAAAGAGGTGCGAGTGATGAAGAAGGGGCCGCCAAGTAGTTACGGACACGGCCGGAGGCACTCGTGCTTGGGGTATGTTCCCAAACTAGCTTCTGTATCTTTCCAGTGTTGATGGTCATGGGAGGCTGTGGAGTGCTACAGCAAGGACTCTTTAATTCATTGATTGGTTTTATTAGCTATACAAACCACATAAAATGAAAACAAAGTTACAGAAACTTTAAGGAATTTCTGTTTTTTTCGTCAAGGAATGTTTTTGTATCTTTTTTATCTTTATATTTAGATTCACTGAACAGTAAAAGGGTTCAGTAAATATATAAACTGGATGATAGAGAACCTGAGATGACAGAGAACTAAGAACCTGACAAGGATGGAAATCAGATTGAATGATTTATTGTTTGTTTTTAGTTCTGCCAAATTTCAAGGGACCTGAAGGTTTTTTAAAGTATAGAAAACTAGTCTGAAGTTTGGAAAGGAAGCCAAATTAGAGAAGATGCATAATTATTATGATCGGTTACAACATGAAGGAGCCATTTCAGAAAAGATCAACACAGACTTTTCGTTATTAGTTTGTTTCAATTTTTTTATTTATAAACAGAAATCTGAAACCTGTAGTGGTCATTTCTAGGGTCATCTTCATAGACTGTTAGGTTAAGTTTGTTTTTTTTTATCTTTTTTGAGCCATGTTTCTAGCATGTCTCTATGTCTACTAAAATATTGACCATTTCATCTCTCACTCGGTGTAGATTCACCTAGATTAGTGAACTTCCACTTTAAACTCTCCCAACTGGATTTAGTTTGAGCTTTGACCAATTACTCATTAGATTTAAACCCTTCTCTCATTGTATGCTATAATCCTAACTACCTTTGAAGTAAAACAGGTTTTCTTACTCTACTTTTTGTATTTTGCTCAATCAATTCTCCAATAAACTCTGACAAGTGATCAAGAAATGTATCACACCACACTGTGATGCCTCCAGCATCATGTTAAATTTAAGAGTAGGTTTGTTCAGTGCAATGTGTTTCCTCACTGCATTGCTTATTTGTAATATTTATAATCCAAATATAATTTTCCGATTTCTGCTGTGTCACCTTATTGGCTTTAAAACAGGATATATGGCTTTTTTTTTTGCTCCCCTTTTGTAAAGGCTGCAGTTTCCCACACCTCAATGTTGCTTTTTGTATGTTTGACAATGATGAACTTAGTGCTATGTGAGATGTTGAAAGCCCCACAGCTTTCTCCCTGACCTGTGTGCTGTTTGTTGACTAATGCGTAGGAAGGTGGTTGTTCTTAGGGGTAGCGGAGTGGAAGGGGCATTTTCCTTTTATAAATTTAATTGACATTTCCATCCCTTTAACTGTGTAATTAGGCACTAATACTAGAGTTGCAGGACAATATGTGATGTTATGTCCCTCAAAATGGGAGTTATGCATAAGATTGTGAGCATTTTTGTTTTTGCTGATATCTTGCCCAACACTTTGTGAGAGGAAGTTAGTTTTCTTTGTGGTGACACTTGGTTAATAGACTTCCTGTTTATTTGTTTTCGTTCTCTCTTAAAGTCTTTCAAATGCATTTTTTTCTATGTGTTCCAATAGAAGGAGGCTGTTTTGGAGGGTTTTTAGCGCGCTATAGCCAGCATCACAAGTATCCACAGCTTTTGCATTTCTGTGACTTTTATTTTATTTTGTTTGATTTATTTGGTGCACATTTTAATGTAACATATCCTATGAGTTCTGGTTGTGGCAGGGGCAGGGGAACCACCCTGTTCTTCACACTTCTGTTGGGTCATTTGGTGACTCAGCTGCCTGAACTATAAACTGACATGATCACCAACACACACCACGCCTTTATGTCAAAGTAAACTTTATGTACATTTGCATTTACTGTGTAAACAACGTAAGCTACATTTTATTTCCTTATACTTTGCCTTCAATACTGCTGACATTCTTTTAATCTATGAAAACCGTCTTATTTCTAAAGAAACTGGCTTTTTTACCATATGAGCTTAAAAATAAAGGAAGACAGTATGTTGCTAAAAAAGGTCCACAAGAGGACAACATTGTCTTCCATTCTGGAGAAACCAGTTGGTTATTTACAAGTTTCCATATCAGCGCTGCTTGGAAATCTTTAGCATGCTGTTATAAAAAAAACAAAAAAAAACATAGATGCTGACTTTAAAACTCTATAATTTTCTTGTTTTGGAAACAAAAACATATATTTGTCGTGGTCTACTGGATAGACAGCATTCCAAAAGTATCCAGTTAAAACCAGTTTCTTTGCTAATTATTTAAAAAACAAAACTCATCTTATATTACGGATGAGGTGCAAGTCAGTAGTTTACTACATTTTTTATGTTAAGATTATTTTACTAACAGGGCCTAATAGGTTTCATAGGTGAATATATCATTGATTTGTAGTTTTTCTTTTTACATTAATGGGTCAAGCTATAGCTCCCCACCCTTTTTACCCCAAGTAAGACTTGTTTTAAGTCCCTTTACACCCAGAGCAGGGCAGAGTGGGTGTGGAGTTTGGGAGTCAGGCTGCATTAATACAGCAAACCCCCAAAATAACCCCCTGAGCTTGGAATAGTTCCCCAGCTCCACCAGCCTGGCTGTACACGACACGTGAATCTGACACATGTTCGCTTGTCATTTTGTGTGCAAACAGACAGTCCCCCACCCCCCCAATCTGCCAGTCCCCCCCAACCGGCCAGTGTCACCCGTCCCAAAATCCATATTGATTGTTCCACCAGAGTCGCTGTGGGTCTCTGATCCAACTTTGTCTTATGCTGTTTAACTTGTGCCTGTGTAGTTTAATGACTGTCTCAAATAAAAGAAAAAATATATATATCACATAAGTTTTTTTTTTTTTTTGTCACATTGTTTTTTTCTAAACCTGCCCAAATTGACCTCCAAGAATCACAAACACAGCCGCTGTAAGTCACTATTTTCCACTGACAGCTGTGATAATGGGATGGTTTAGCTGTTGCTGTGGTTGTGTGTGACTTTCTCTGTGTTGAGAACAAACTTAGCTTTTTTAAGCAAAGTGCGACCTCTACTGGCCAAAAGAAAAACCTCAGGGAAATATATATTAAAAAAGAATACTTACATTTATTTTATTTAATTATTATCGGGGTCTTTGTAGCTTCTAATGCTTAGTAAATATAAAATAGAGTATATCTTAAGTTGCAATTAAAAGGTGGGAGGAAGGGGTAAATAGGAGGAGCAGAAGCTATTCTCTGAAATAACACTTTCTAATCAGTCCAAGCTGTTTGCTTTGTAGGAGTGAAGTCCTGCAGAAGGAAATCAATGTGGAGCAAATTGAACGTGACAATTATTCTGTGGTGCAAATGTAGTTTTATTTTCTTCTGTTCTCTTTAATTGCCACTTTATCTTTGGGTGAACAACATTTTGTTTGTGCATGTGTTATTTGGTTGAAGGAAAAAAACACCCTTATGCTTTGTATATATAAAAAAAGAAAACATACTTAATCATTTCCCACTGTCTGAAGATAAATCACAATAAACAGGTCATGTCTTAGGTCAGTATGGTTACTAGAATTATTTTATTAACTTAGGTAAAGAGTAATAAGACTTTTAATTGTATTGTTTTATTAATTCCTGAAATGTAGAGGTTTAGGCAAACTAAGCTTATTTTGTAATTAACTAACTTGCTCAAATCATCAATAAGGCCCTGTCTTTTTAAGCTGGTTCTAAATATTTAAGTCAAATATGTTTTTTTTATATCTTTCACACACCGCTTTCATGTGTGGCATAAAGGAAAATACAACAGATTCTGCTTAAATATCAGGAGGAGAATTTTGGACATCCCAAAGTCTGCCCCATTCCTAGAAACACTTTCCATTATCCTGAAGTTGTTGCCGCCTTCAGTCATTAGTATGCCAACGTAAACATTATGGGAATGTCTAGGAGATAGTTTCAGTTTCTCAGATAAATTAGATGACGTCATACACACTCCGTTTTGTTTTTAAATAGAAAAAATATAACTGCGGATGTCTGGGGGACAGTGATTCGCCTACATGATATGAATGCTGGCGTACCATAAATGATAAATTATAAACATTTTAGTTTGTACCTTCAAGTCATTGCCCATAGGAATACATTACTTGGATATAACCTAACCGAATATCTTCAGAACAGCTCCAAATGACACAAATCTCATATGGGTGAGTAGAACATGATGTAATAATGTAAAATCAAGGGCCCAATGTAAAAAAAAACAAAAAAAAAACGGCGTTCCTCTCTTATGTGTTTTGGTTTGAAATGTGTGTATCCCCACTGAATAAACTTCTTGAAAATGGTGATGGAAGCTGATAAGAAGGCCATTACCTACAATGTAAATCCTTAATGAAAATTGGTCAGAAATAAAAAGTAGCCCTTTCCCTCCAAAAGCAACATTTGAAGTTAGAGCTGGCATGTGACAGTCATGTAACATAATAAACAGCCGTAACACCAACTGAGCCCCCGGTCCAAAACTGCGAACACATCAGCCACAGTGCCAAAACTCTCTACCATTGTTATTCAGGAAGGGGGCAAGCCTGGCCTAAGCAGGGTCTCCTCCTGCTCTAACAGACGGGGGAATCCCACACTACTTCTATCAGTCTGCTCATCCCATTACTGCATATCCACTTTGCTGCTTCTACAGTAGTTGTAAGTTATGACGAGGCTTCAACTGAGTTGATACTTTGACAACTTTTATTGTCATTTTGTATACATAGAGTGTATATAAAAAGAAATTTCATTTTGTACAGCTTTCATGACATTTTTATTTCTTAAAGTGAATCAGTGATCAAATGTAAACTGTGGAAGAAAAAACATGGCGCAAAAAAAACACGTATTAATATGGAAGTTCAGGGAATTAAATATATATGGTGCAAATATGCAGTGTTTTGGTTTGGTGTGCTTTGACAGGTGACTGTCCTGAGGCAGCTCGGCACCCAACAAGGGAGCCTTAATCTGGCAAGTTTTGTCAGTCACCTGAAACCAGCCTTGTCACATCGCACCCCACCAATCACAGTGACGCGTCAAGCTTATGTCAGGAAACAGAGTTTGAGA